GGGGGGGGGGGGGGGGGCCCCCCCCCCCCGGCATCCGGTACCCGCCGAAGATCTGGGGGCGGGTGGCGCGTTGGGGTGAGGAGCTCTCTGCGCGTCCTCTCCTCTGAGCAGAGGACAGAGCCGCCACCACGTTGTGCCATGCGGAGGGGAAGGGCCCTGGGCGCCTGGGTGCTCCTCGCCAGCCTGGCCGTGGCCAGCTGGGGGGTCCAAGGTAAGTCCCCGGATCGGTCCCTGCCCGCAGGCTGCCGCGGTGCCCGTTGGGCACTCGCCATCACCCCTGGAGACTGCCACCCGTACTGCTGACACGGCGGCGGTGGGAGGGTGGCTGGGAGGCAGACCCCTGCGGCTTGCTGGGGCTTTTTCCATCGTAGCAGCTTGACGTGAGGGTCGTACATGTTGATGGGGAAAAGGGAGCGAATCGGTCCAACGGCTCACGGGATCGCTCTGATGGCCCTGCCTGCCTTGGACCGTCGTTGTGACAGCCTGGAGCCGTGCGCGTTACTCCGTGGCTGCCTGCGATAGCCGAAACCCACCTTGCAATGACAGAGCGTGTGAAGCTGGACTTGGCGGTACTGTGGTGTTAGACCAACGCAGCCGTGGGCTTTGTGCCCGGCAGAAATAGGCGTGCAGGAGAGGCTGTATTCTGTACTCTGCTCCAGCGCTCAGCAAATAAGACAGGGAATTTACCCTCCATTTGCAGACTCTGAAGGTGATGCCTTTGGGCCAAGGAAGCAACTCTGTGCGCATTTTTTGCATACTTTTCCCTAAAAATGTTTTTTTACTATTGGGTAAAAACCCAAAGGGTTTTTTGCCTCCTCATCCGGGCTCAGCTCCTGTCCCTGCTGGTGGAAATACTTCACTTTGTGTTGAACTGTCTCTCACTGCAGTCTGTCTGCAGGATGAGGGTCACGCACATGCAGTCTGAACAGAGTCCAGGTGGATGCCCCATTCCAGTTAGTTTCCACTCTAAGGGAATTTGGATCTCTAAACTACCCAGAGCTGCATTAATGTAACAACCAGTTGAACACTGGACTACTTTTCCGCTGGGTAGTCTGCTTTTTCCAGAGTTTTTTGTCTGTGGTGTCCTTTCTGCGGCTCAGGGGACAGCGAATGCGATGCTCTCGACACTAGCCATCTCCCAGAGTGAGATCTGGAGCTCTGCACCACTGCGAGGGTCGGGAACTCAGCTGTGAAGCACTCTGCTTGCCTTCTTTTTGCAGGACAGGAAGTAATCGTGAAAGAAGCCAGCGGGAAGGTGTTCCTGCAATGTAAAATAAGCAGCAGTGGTCCAGTCATATGGCTGAAAGATGAAAAAATTATAGGAAACGCAACACAGCTGGACTTGGGTGCCATTTACAATGATCCCAGAGGCATCTATAGGTGTCAAATACAAGGCGGAAAGACAAGCTCCCCCTTACAGGTGCACTATCGAAGTAAGTGTTGCAAACCTGGTTTCTAGAGCCAGAACTGCTTGGAGTTTTCACCCAAGCAAACTTCTGAGGGCACTACTGGTTGCCCAGAATTTGAGGGTGGTTCCGCCAGTTTGCAGAAGTCCTGACAGCTCCTGCACTGGGCTGCCCTTGGGAACAGCCAAGCTGAACGTTCCCTTGCCTGTGGTGTTCCTGTGAGAGCTCTACAGCCTCATTGAGTGCCATAACCTGCTACTCACAGTGCCTCATTGCTAGCCACTCGCTGGCCCTTGCTGTGGCCTGCCCCAGTGCTGGGGGCACGTGGCAGCTTGCACCACTGCCTTGGGTCATGCAGCAAGCCAAACTTGGTCCCTGGCCACTCGCCCTGGGACTGGAGCCTGCCTGGACTGGCAGAGCTGGCTTTGGGCTCAGACTGACCCTGGCAGCAGGGTCCTGGTCCTGGTTGTGGCCCTGCTTTCAGTGTTTGTGACCTTTGGGGCTTCCAGTGTGCCAGAACTGCATCGAAGTGGACGCTCCCACCATCTCGGGGATCGTGATCGCGGATGTTCTCGCCACCGTCTTCCTGGCAGTTGCCATGTATTGCATCACTGGCCAGGACAAGGGACGCATGTCACGAGGTGAGGGGATAGCCCTGCTGACTGCCCACGGAGGGGGGGACAGGAAGCGCCTGGGCATCTTCAGTTGCTGTGTGGTACCCAGGGACTTTCCATCACTGCCCACGGACCCCAGTGGCTGGCAGCTGCAGGCAGCAGCTGGCACAGAGCGTGTCTAGGGTAGGGATCCATGTGAGCATTCCGTGTACCCTTCCTGCCCCTAGCTCAGCTTCCCAGGAGAAGCCATTGAATGCACAAGCTTTGTCAAAAACATCATCCCAAGGGCAGCAGCTGGTGGCACAGAAACATCTGAGGCTTCGCAGGGGCTTTCCACCGAGCCTCCCAGAGGAAGTAAAAGCGCAGGGCTGAAAGCAGATGGCCGCTTGGGTTTGTTTGCAAATGTTGACCACGCTGCCCATCACTCCCCTGATCCTTGACCACCTTCTTTCTTCATTTAGCTTCTGACAGGCAGAACTTGATTGCCAACGAGCAGCTCTACCAGGTGAGCGTGGGCACATGCGTGCATGGGCTTTAGCACCTCTGCGTGGCGTGGGGCTGCGTGGTGGGATGGCTGCTGGGGGGTACTCGATGCCACGAGGCACTGAGCTGCATGGGAGATTGCTCGCTGCTGGGGCACCCGCAGCCACCTCCCCCTGAGTGACCCAGAGGATGGGGCAAGCTCAGCGACCCCTGCCTCTTGCTCTCTGGGGTTGTTAAGGTGTGTGTGCAGGGAGGGAAAGCTTGCTAAAAGCTTGGCGAAGGGAGGGCTGGTTCAGCTTCCCCTGTACCCTCCCTCCCGGGGCTGGACAGACACGGTTGTAGCTCATCTCGCCTTTTTTTCCTCCTAGCCCCTTGGCGAGCGGGACGACGGACAGTACAGCCGGCTGGCACCTGCCAAGGCCCGCAAGTGAAGCGGGAAGATGCTGGAGCCTACGACTCCTTCACACCAGGAGTGATATTACAGCAAAGCCGCTGCCAGTGCCCAAGAGCGCCGATGCCCTGCCCTGGCACTGCCTTCGTAAGCTCACTGCTGGCAGAAAACAGTGCGGGTTTTTGCCTGGAGAGCCCTCCAGCTCCTTGCCAGGATGGGCTGCTTGTAGCACTCTGCTCTTTCCATGACCTCTTGCACTCCTGTATTCCTATCATTAAAGTTGAGCCCATCTCCCATAGCCTCCCTGCTCCATCGGTTGTCTCGAGGCGGGGGGAGCCGTGCAGTCGCTGGGGAAGGTGAGCGCTGGATGCAACCTGCCTGGACCCCTGTGGAGCTGTAAGGCTCCTGCCTCTCCCGGCGGGACACTGCTCTGCCAGTGTGGGCAGGTGCCCACGGCTGTGCCACCTCTCCGTGCCAGGATCTAAATGACGTCCCGGTCCTTCGCTGACGCTGGGCGTGGGGGACCTTGTGAAGGGAGAGGGTTGCTGCCCCCGAGAGCAGCAGAGGCTTTGTCTCATTTAACTCCCCTTCCTGAATGGAGAGTGGGGACACCAGGAGCACGGTGACACTCGGCAGGGTCTGTGTCCACCCTGCAGAGTGCCTGCGTGTCTCAGTCCCCCGGACAGAGCTGGGGGGCTGGCAGGAGGGAGGACAGGAGGACGTTTTCCCATTTTCCTCTGCACGTGCACGGCTTGGCATCTAATCGCGGTCTCCAAACTGCCGGGGTTTGCCAGGTCACTGGCACCCAGCCATTGAGCAAGCTGCCTCCATGCTTACAGGAGAGAAGCATGCACAGACAAGCAACCTGGGCTGGCTCCCCAGAATTGCTCGCAGGGACTGGGACCAAAGAGGAGATGGAAACAGCAGAGGAGATGAAAACTGCAGCAGAGACCGTGCAAAACACAAGGCAGCAGAGTTGGCCAGGCAGCGAAGGCCAGAGGCAGTCCGCACTCCCTGCACCTCTGGTGGTTTGGGGAGGCTCTCCCGCACTCCTCTGCAGCCCACTGGAGAGCGACCCACCTTTGTGACCAGGCCAGGGATCTTTGCGGGGCATTCGGCAACCCCTCCTGCAGGCTCACGAGCCGTCCCAGCGTGCCGAGTACAGGATGCAGAGGAGCAAACTTTCAGAGCCTTTCCCAGCTCAAACACCTTTCCAGACACTGACCAGCACTGGGTCTCCCCACACCCTCCCAGCTCTTCCCAGCAAGGTCCCCGCTCCCCAGCCCTGAGCAGAAGCAGCTAATGTGGTCTGGCCATGGCCAAAACGGGAGGCAGATAACAGAGCGGATCACCTAGCAGTTAGAAACCTCAGAAACCAGGTCACCCTCCATGTGCCAGTTGCACACACCTGTAGATTGTGGTTCCTGCTTTTCTAAGAATCTGGGTGACGGGCTTTAGAGGGCACCAGGCTGTGAATTGCCGTGCGACTCAGTGGTATAAAAGTAAGCACCAAAAGAGTTAACGCTCAATAAAAACTGGCCACAAATCTGTGGCACATCTGACAGCAAACAACACCTAGGCTGCGCAAAGCTGTGGGTGCACCCATGTGCCCTTACAGGAATCGGCGTGTGACCAGCCTGGCAGGCAGCGACCTGCTTTCCTATGGTGTCAGCTCTTTACACAACAACATTTTGCTCTTTGCAGAACAATGTCTTAGCGGTTTTTCTGCTCCAGCCTGCTCCAGTGAAGGGTGAGCCTGATATGGCCGTTGCAGGTAGAATATGCCAATACCTGCCTTTGGTCCGTAAGGCCATCTGGGTAGGCGACCAGCAGACTGCCTAGTTTATAGCACTTTCATCAGCTTCAGATCTCAAAGCCATGAGCAAAGTTTGCTAACCACACCCAACGAGCAGGAGAAACCCAGAGCAGAGTGGGTGGGTACGCGCTGCACAAATCAAAGACACAGCAGGGGCAACGTTTACCACTTGTCTGTTTGTGAGAGGCTCCTCAGCACCTCACTCTTGGGGGGACAAAGGAATATTTCTATGGTGCAGCTAAGCACAGAGGCAGAGAGGTGTCGTCACTGGGTGGGCGCTGATCCCACTGAGATAAGGATGCGTGGGATGGCACTGGTTGGGGCAAACGTGCAGCCCCATAAATGTTGGCAGAAGCACGGGGGTCTAGCTTGAAGCAAAATTTAGACCTTGCACACCCAGAGTGGTCCGAGCTTCTCGCATCCCGTTCGTGGCAATGGGCTGTATGGCTGGGCTGAGCAAGCGTCCCTGGAGCAGTGGTGTTTTGCAGAAGCTGAGAAGGTGGCCCAGAGTGGTTTTAGAGCTGCAGGGGGTTAGTGCTCTTCGTGTCTTGCAATCTCCCTCCTAGGTGTCTAGTGCCTTGTATGGTAAACCCAGCTGTGCTGCCTTTAAAACCACATCCTGCAGGGTAAGCACAGCAATCTGAAGGCTAAAACTTGCTGGGTGTTTATCTCCCCATGCTGAAACTCAAGGGTTAAACCACCCACGGCCCCCATCGCTGCTGCGTTTCCTTTCTTCTGAGCTGTTGCTCTGCAGAGCAAGAGAAATGTGGCTCACTCAGCCAGTGTTAGACCAGAAATGTTCCCAGGCATCGCAGCATCTCTTGGGCCCTTCTCCTTAAGGTCCTACCTGCCCATTGCTGCTGCTTTGGAAACCACAGCTTTTAAAATCAGGCAGATTTAAAATCTGTATGGCGAGTGCAGAGGACCTCAGCTATTTCAGTTGCCCCTAGAGAGCAGCCCCAGAGCCGCTCCCCGGCTCCTGTCGACTCCTGCCCTGCTCTCCTAGGCACGGCAGTGCATTTTTGTAGGCGTACCTGTCTCCCCCATCTCGGCACAGCCTGCTCCCAAACCCCTCGCAGGCTGAGTCAACACAGACCCACAGAAACTCACTGTCTTAGGCTGCTCCTGAGCTGGGAACTCCCCTTAGCAAAAACCAGTTTTCTTTAACAGAGACCAAAACACAGGGGAAGTCTTTTCCAATGCATACCTGGGGGTGCTGTCTCCCATTTTATTAATATATTACAGCTTTAAAACGCATATAAAAAAGTTAAAATGGATCTTTACCAACAGCAAAGAAGCCCGCCGTCTTTCTAACAGACCCCAGGCAGAACTGAAGTTGCAGAGCTGAAATGGGGAGAGAAAGGGCAGCAACACAGGGCAGATCACAAGAAACTCAAAGAGCAATAGCTCTGGAAAATTATACTTGGCCAGCAGATGTACTTGTACACCCCTTAGGGTACAACACACTCAAAGAAATGTGTTTATCCTGGACTACTATCGGTACAAATGGAGTCCATGAAGGCTCTGGGATGAGGACAGCCTAGCAAAAGGGCTTGATGCTCTCTTGGATTTTGTAGGTCCTGGGCTTTATCTCTGTGGCCCAAATACATTCATTTCAATTCCAGTGAACAAGCTGTCTCAAGAGCAGAGTGCTAGTCCTGGGTCTGAGCCAAAGGGTCTCAGTTCTGATCTGGAAAACAGGAAAATCCCTGTTGTGCTGTTTCAGCCTACAAAGCTGATACTCATTGCGAGGTGGGGGTTCAAATCTTAGCTGAGGTATCGAAGAGCCCCACTATTTAATAGTAACACAGGTCTAGCACTCAGCCAAGCACTTAAATTTCCTCGTAGGAGGCTTTCAGGTGGCTTGGGAAGGCACCAGGTCCCCGTGTGACCCTACGAGGATGTTCTGCCGAAGGTCGGAAACGTGAAGGTCACTGGATGCGGAGTGGTACCGGCCCCACTCGTTCCCTTCAGAAGAAGGGCAGGTCGGTTTGCACGTACTGCCAGGACTGCTTCTCATTTTTTTAAAGGAAAACTGTTCTTTTTGACTGAAATATTTTCAGTCCAAGCCCTGGCTTTTCTATGAAAATGTATCATCTTGGTTTTAATATACTGACTGCCTCTGTTCCTTTCCTTACAATCCTGGGCAGCAAACCTGAGACAGGCTATGGACGTGAGAGCAGGGCCAGGTCAGAGGCCGGTCACTCCGAGAATGCCCGCTGGCTACCCGGGGAGGCTTGGGGAGCAAGCGGAGGCACTCCGGGTGGAAATTAAGTGGGAGGGAAAACGAGAGCAGGCAACTGGAGCAGAGAGAGGGAGAAGCGGGAGGGAAAAGGAGGCCAGGAGCCACGAGTGAGGCTGCAGTCCTTTAACGAGAAGGAAAACTTCCCTTGCCAATGTGCTCGTTTGATTCTTCTCCCTAATGTCGAACCGAAGGCCAAAGGAACACGTCGGGGTGGGTCAGCGGAGGGCAGCAGGGTGCCTGTGCTGTGTAGCTGCCTGGTTTTATCCCAAAACGCTTGGGCCTCGGCAGGCCTGCAGAGAACGGGTACCGAGTGGGGCAGAAGCGCTCAGCCCCCCTCCTGCTGTTCCGCAGCCTGCCGTCCGTGGGAATTTCAGAAGCCCCTGGATTCCAGGCCTGCATATACTTCCCGCTGGCCTTTCCGGATGGGCTGTGGGAACAGCAGAAATGTTAGTTCGGGAATCCTCATTAACACACCATCAAACAATGCCAGGCTCTTGGTCCCCACAATACACGGAGAAAACTACAGCAGGGAGAGGAGGTGTAGTGCTGCCGTTCTGCTCCCAGCTCCCTGTGGCAGCACCAGAAGGGGCTCCACCCTCAGCACCTTTTTCCTCAGCTCCCGGGAAAGCTCGGAGGTTCTTCAAAGGAGCCAAAAGGATAACTGCTACAGATCCCCAGCTCTGGCTATCCCTCCCCAGCCAGCAGAGAGAGATGGAAAAAATGCAGGTTCTCCATACCTCATAGTCTGGGTTTGGAACGGGGGGAGGACGCTGAGTCTTCTGACCTGCAACAGAGGCAGAGAGGTGGTGATTGATAACACAGCACGAGGGACTGTCATGGAGATGATCCCAGGGTAAGGCATACCACGGGTCAGCTCGCATGGCTTTATTACGAGCTCAGAGCTTTTAAAGACCCAGCTGCTGCAGGCAGGAGGCCTTATGATCATTTAGGGAGAAATCAGCTTTCTTTTAGCAAATTTCTAGCTTTCCCGGTTGTGAAGGAACACTTGAAAACAAGGCGGCCCCATAAGCGCAGGTCCAGGCTAGAGCTCCACAACAGGGATACCAGACCTGTACTCCCCTGCCTTGGCAAGCCGCACAGGCGCGAGCACTTCATCACATTTCCCTTGAACCCAGCGCACAAGATGCACAGTGAGCACACGATAGGGCATTTAGACCTGCCGAAAGATTTACAACAGCTTTGTGGAGGCTAGGGGAAAAGTGGCAATGCCTGATGGGTGCAAAGTTTGCTGGGTTTGCAGCCACACTTGCAAGCTGAGCGTCTGCCATAGAGTGTTTGCTTCAGCACGGACCCAATGCTGCTGCACAAGAGCCTGGGAAATGGTTTCCTATGGGGAGGAAGCCTTTGACAGAACACAGCAGCCGTACCCATCCCGTACAAGAAGGCAGCAGATGTGGCAAGCAGGAGCGCTCTTTGGGGAGGTCTTGGAGGCTCGGGGAGAACAGAGGAGGCTCCATCACTCGGCAGAGGCAAGCGCTGAATTTAGTGCTCGGCGGACGTCATGGAGAGCAGGGACACCCGAAATGGCTCTTACCTCGTGGCCGACTGCCAGCAGTAGTGCTCGCTCTCCCCTTCCTGTCTTTGCTGAAGTAATAGACCAGAATTAGCACCCCGAAAGTGATGAGAAGATCCGCAATGATGATCCCTGTCACGGCCAAGGTATCCAGCTCCTCACAGTTTGCGCACACTGCCAGGGGGAGAGATGAAGGTGCTAAGAGATGGGCACCCTTCCTTCCAGCAAGGAAAGTCCAGGCCCGCTTAGTGCTTGCAGAAGAGATACAGTTATGGGTGGGAAGGAGAAAAGAGCAAACAGAAAGGAAGGGGGACAGCACAGGCTATTCTAGCTGCCCCGCCATTTCAGTCTGCAGACACAGACTGGTGTGTGCAACCTCCTTCACTTCCCTCTGCTGTTTGCATGGCCTGAGTTGGAGGGTGCAAAACATCTCCTAGGTCATTGCCCCCCTCTGCCCTTGCTGGAGTCCAAATCCCGAATGCAGAGCAGCTGTGCGAACGAAGCTCAGAGGCTTAAATCACTCTGTCAGGGTGGAGGTAAACTCCCCCTGGCTGATGGCTCTCAGGAACCAGGCTGTGTGCTCTAGATGGGAGGTTTCCACTCTGCAAGGTAAGAAATCCCCCTGGCCTTTGCGACAGACATTACTCTTGCCTCGTAGCATGGCAGGAACTGTATAAGCAGAGATCGCGCGCAATGTGGGAACCATTGACATGCAACCACCTCGAGGGCAGCGGAAGGGAAAGGCATAGAGAGCAGGGAGATTCCTTTTGCCAAAAAATGTGCTCTTGGACTCTTTTACTGCCCACACGGAGCGGAGGGGCCTCAGCAGAATCCCATTCACCCGGCCCAGCAGCACTAAAAATCAGGTCTCAGCCCCTAATATGTGTCACTGCAATGTGTAGACTTTAGCCTGTAGGCTGAGTGTTGGGTTTTTTTTACTCACCTCTGGCATTCAGGTACATGTCATACTTCTTAGCACCTTCCGAGCAGCTCACGTTGGCAGGAGAGCTGTCGTGATTCTCTAGAACGAGCTTCTTGTCTTTATTTTCTGGTTTTGTCCCAGTTAAGTCCCAGGTGACACTGCCTTCAGTCAAGGGACACGTGATTGTCACCGTGGTGCCAGAAATCTCCACCAGGAATTCTTTATTGGAAGATGGGCCAACAAGAAGGGAAGCCAGCATTACAAATGGCATCTGAGGAGGCTTCCCTGCCCACCCTTGACCCCACCATGACAGTTTGCTTGCCAAATCTTTGATTTCACGGTGTAATGTAAATTCCCTGTGCATGTGTCTTCCGCATGCATGTTTTCCTTTAGTTTTTTACACTGGTTCTTTGCAACACTGAACAGCATAAAAATATCATCACTGAGTGGTCAGCTTCATGTCGGCCACCTGCCATTCATCATTCTGCTTATCCATGTGCTTGCTGGTCTCTGCAAATGGCCAGCTCTGCTTGGAGACCACCAACAGTAATTAGGGGCAACTTGTTATAGCTGGTTTTTCTGATCGATGATGACAGTTAGCAAGTCACAAACCAGAACTCCTTTCCTCCTAAAATACTGCTTGAACTTAAATATTTCTATCAACCTTTTAGTCCTCACCTGTCATCTGCAATCTTTATATCCTGCTAAATAGTTAAGAATGCTGGTAGAATACACTTACCCCCCTGTGCTTCGATGTCATCTGCAAAGGAGAGAATAATAAATATTAACAAATCAGCCTGCTATTATTGCGCTGCCTGTTGCTGTTGGAAAATGCCCAACCCTGCTTGGGGATCATTAGCAATAATTAGGGACAATTCGTGACAGCCCATTTTTCAAATCGGTAAGATCAGTAACAATTAATGAACAGGGAGTTTTTCCTATCCTACAATATTTGCAAAGTTCAGATACCTCTATTTGACTTTTAGTCCTCACTTGTGAGGCGTAGTTGGTCTTTTTATCATACCAAGTAGTGAAGAATGCTGGTAAAACACACTTACCCTGCTGAGCCGCGGTGCCAACTACAAAAGAAAGAATAATAAGTGTTAACTAATTTAGCTACTGATATTATACACCTTTCCTACTTCAAGGATATCCTTTCTGCACCCAGCTGCTTGAAAGGGATGCTTATACGCCCACGCTTTTGCTGAAGGCAGGAGAAGCTGCTAGCTGAGACAGGATGTTGTGCTGAAATGAAGGCTCTGCCTTTGGGAGCCATTTTTAATGCAGGCTAGCGCAGAATGGAAATTTGAATAACTTTTTAGAAAAAGGGTTATTGCAACCTGTACACCCAACCAACAATTTTGCGTTGCTATCATGGACCAAAGACTGCTGGAAAATCGTGCCTGGTTTTGGCCGTAAGAACCACTGTCCTCTGCGAGAGTGTGCTCACTGGAGGCTTGGACCCTGACGCTTGATTTCACGCTGTAAAGCAGTTTATCCACGCGATTTTTCTCTCTTGCTAGGAAACAAGTAGCTCCATTGAAGTCTCTGGAGCTGGAAGTATTATAGAAACAGTTTTTAGGAGGCCAGAATCAGACCTGTGATTTGCTTTAAAGACATCTGACGACAGAAAGTAACATAAGTAAATAAAGGAATGACCTGTGTTTGTGTGTTCAGCACTCTTGTCCCATCCCAGGTAATGCTTATTTACAATACGAGCTACTGGTAACAAAACTGCAGATCTGAAATTCCACAGGCATGGGACTTTGCTGGAGAGAAGGTGATCTGATGCTTTTTTCTTTATATAAGATGGATTTAAATTTGAAAAAGAACAGACCATTGCTAAACCAAATGTTTTCAATCTTCCCAAAGAACAGCAGTTGGTATTCGCAGCACATTGGCAGAGTAGCTGCAGCCTTATTGTAGTGTCTTTTAATTATCTTCCAAACTTATCCCTCATCGTTACCAGCTGCTTTATAGCCTCTAGAGATACTTTGCACTTCATCATAAACCAGCCTTCTAAATGCTGGTCAGTTCAAACTGGTAACATGGAAATTGCTGCCACTCCTGCCGTATCACAGTGAATCTGAACTGAAGTTTTTCACCCGGGGTCACGAAACGGTTTAAGAAAAGGGTATGAATAAAGTGTACAAATAAAATTAAACCCACAGAACATTATAGTTCACATTGCTGCAGAAAGCAGCACATAAAGCTCCCACCCTCCAACATGGTTTGGAGACCGGGTGTCTTCATGAATCAGCTAGCAAGCAAAAATTCGCTAAGGACCTCTAGGTCCCTTCCTCTAGCCCGGGAGGGCTGGATTCCCATTTGTCCCTGCATCTGCTCTCCGAGGGGAACACTCGCTCTGGAGAGCAGCAGCAGCTCCATAGCCACTCTGCAGGCCAGTTGCAGAAGATGTGGCTGCGGGTACTTTGCAAAACCAGCCGCACGCCCCTCTGCTTTCTAAAACCCTGTGGCTCCTGGGCAGCCACCCTTCTGGTCCCCACGGGCTTCTGGCCAGCTGTACTCACCCACACACAGCACGAGTCCCAGGAGAGGCAAGGACCGCTCCAACCTCATCCTTGTGCTCCTCCTTCTCTTGCTCTTCTCTACCACATCAGATTGGCATCACCGAGGCTGGCTGCGAGGGAAGAAAGAACACATCGGCTTTTCAAGTTCTCGCTTACAAGAAAGAGGCCCAAGATTTTTTCCCAGAATTGTGTACGGCAATGGACTGAGCAGTGCTGGGGAGACTCACGCTTTCCAGTGAAACCTGCAAGCAGCCAAGAAAGGCACAGAACGCATATGATAAAATAAGCCCACGTCAGGAAGTGCGGAGGCTCAAAATGTCTTCGCAGCACGTCACTGACAGCGAGGGGTGGCTGCTCTGCCCCAGCCCACTCCGAGGCTCAGGAGACCTGTTGTGACTGCCCTGGGAGCAGCAGGAGAGAGAAACCAGCCTGGATTGGATTTGCTGTCAGGACCCTCCTAACAACTTCTCCAAGTGAGTGTTTCTGAAGTTCAGACTACCCCAAGCAACTTACTGTAGGGGGAATAAACAAAGGAACCAGAAAGGCTCCGAGCAGCTCAGCACCTAGAGATGCTCTACGGCCAGCAGAAACGAGCCTGTAAGTGCCAGGCTGTAAAACCCGGGGGTTTTAGTCACTGGTGATGCAATCTGGACTCTACTTTTGGTTATTTTGCTCTAACACAACCCATTTATTCCTTCTGCCTCTTCATGGGTGGTGTTTCCCAGCTCCTCATCCAGACTCCCCTCTGCACACATCCTGACAGCGAGGAATGCAGCTAAAGCAGTGGCTGATCACAGCAGGCCCTGCTGCAAGCCTCCGACCTGAAGCTAACGCTCTGCTCCCGACAGAGGCTCCATGACGTGCTCTCCCATTAGGGGGGAACTTGCCATGTAACCATGTTGCTGTTTCTCTCCGGTTTCAGTACGAGACTACAAAAGCAATTCCACGTGCTCATGCAGCATTCGTACTCACGTTGCGAATTGCACCTACGATAGAATCAGCTTTATTTGATATACAAAAAAGATGTGGACAGGCTGCAGGGGGTCCAGAGCAGGGCCATCAAGATGATCCAAGGACTGGGAAGCCATGTGAGGATGGGCTGAGAGAACTGGGTTTGTTCAGCCTTGAGCAAAGGAGGCTCAGAGGGGATCTCATCACCACGTACGAGTACCTAAGGGTACCTACAAGGTACCAGTACCTACAAGGACGATGGAGACTCCCTTTTCACAAGGAGTCCCATGGAGAGGACAAGGGGGCATGGACACGAGTTGCTCTTGGGGAGATGCCGATCGGACATGAGAGGGAAATCTTTCACCATGAGAACAGTCACCCATTGGAATAATCTCCCCAGGGGAGGGGTTGGCTCTGCCACATTGGGCACTTTTTAAGACTCAGCTGGACAGGGTGCTGGCTCTTGCCTAGAAAGGTTGGACCAGATGATCCTTGAGGTCCCTTCCACCCTGGGATTATATGATTCTATGACTTATTTCTTTAAGTCACGCTTATCTGTCTCGCTACCGGTTTAGCAGCCCCCGCAAAGGGGGGCAGGCGCCCGGGGGAAGGCAAAGGCTGTTCGGAGAACGCCTCTGCCCGACGGGCTGCCAAAAGCACAAGGGCCCCTGCGGGAGGGGGCTCCGAGTCCTGCGGGGGCACCGCGGGAAGGGCCCCGCTCACCAAACCCGCGCTCCCCAAGCTCTGCCCCCGGGCTTGCCCGGTGCCCTGGTTTGGGCTGGGACAGAGGTAACTTTTTCCCCAATAGCTGGTGTAGGGCTGTGGTTTGGATTTAGGGCCAGAATAATGCTGGTAACTCGCTGATGGCTCAATTGGTGCTGAGCAGGGCTTACGCTGGTCAAGGACTTTTCACCTTGCCCTGCTCTGCACAAGGAGCTCGGAGGGGGCACAGCCAGGACAGCCCACCCCAACTGGCCCCAGGGCTATTCCAGACCACAGGGCCTCATGCCCAGTAGAGAAACTGGGGGGAGCAACCGCTGCTAGGGGATGAACTGGGCATCGGTCAGCGGGTGGTGAGCAGTTGCATCCCTTGTTTCTCCTGGGTTTTGTTCATTGTTGTTTTCCTTTGCACTACAATTTATTATTGTATTTTATATCAATTATTAAGCCGTTCTTATCCTAACCCGCCAGTTTTCTTACTTTCGCCCTTCCGATTCTCCCCCCATCCCAGCGGGACGGGGAGGGCGAGCGAGCCTAGGTGGGGCTGAGTTGTCAACCTGGGTTAAACCACACCACCTGGAAATAAAACTCCCGAAGCCAAGATGATGTAGAGAGGAGATACTGCTTTATTCGGCAGGGGGTGCCAGGTGGAACTCCACAAGTCAAGCACACCAACCTTAGATTTTACTCCCTTATTTATACAGCGCAAATGCATTTTCCACACCTAATACATATTCATTAGCCTGTCTTCACATGCACATCTGCATTGGTTGACAGTCTCGCCATCTAACGATGAAAGCTATAGCTTTTAAATCACTGCGCCTGCGCATGAGGACTGGGGGTGGTACTTGTTTCGTTCTTCAGTTGGGTTGGTGGTTGCAATCTCCCCTTGCCAGAATTACCTTTCACCCACTTCCCTCCCATCTTGTCCGTGTTATCTCGGAATGTCCGCAACCCTCTGTAAGGCTTCGAAACAGATCGCTTTGATGGTGCCCAAAGTGATTTGTTGAGTCAATCTGCTCCATTAACACCGACTTCTTCTTTACTTTTAATTCCGACTCAGGGATAACACCAGCAGGGACGCAGGCACAGACGAAGTGGGAACACCGCTGTCTTTCCATTTCCCTCTCCTTGAAGCCTACAGAGGTGGCAGAGGTGCTCATGTGCTTGTGGGAATAGTGGGGATTTGAGGGCACGTGTCCAAAGCAGAGATTGCAGAGCCAGCCAAGGCTCCCCCCTTCCGCAGGGGCGCACTGCGTTTCCACGCCTGCCGCACACACCTCAAGCGACTCCTTCCCAGATGCCTGGAAGGATGGAACTGGCTTCTTGCTCCGTCCCAAGAGCTCACCATTTAATGACATGGCTAATGCCAATGTGGTGGGCCCTTATTTCATGTACTGAGGTGCTCTCCCTAGCTGCCAGATCTTTCTTTTACTTATTTCTGTTTCAAAAAGAAAAATGGAGAACTTATGCTCCTAGTGAGGGTGCCAGGGACACCGTCTTCTCTTAACCTTCAGAGTCCGCATGTTTTGAAAGAAGATGTTGAAGGTTAGTACAAGTCTGCAAGTAGACGTCGGGACAGACCCTCTTCCCAGTCCCGTGCATTACACAAACATGGTCTTAAGCGAGAGCCAGCAGTGTTGCTACGTGGCCAGCGTGGCCAAAGGGCACGTACAGCAGGAAACACGCTTGTCCTCCTGGATTCTGCGTGGGCTGCCTGAGGATAAGAAGTTGCTGCTGTGCAGGAAGACAATCTTGGGAGGTGGCAGCAAATTGGCTGCCGAGCACTGCCTTACAAGTACTCCAAACAGATCTGAAAAGGCAAAAGCGTCCTCTGATTGCAAAACAAACAAACCAACCCCAGCCTAGTAAATATTTATGGTGGCAATGAAAGAAATGGAGATGATGTTTTGGAATAGTAACTGGAAATTTGGGGAGATGCAGTGATGAGGGGTTAACACAGGGTCAGATGATTCCCATGAAAATAGAGCTATCTCAGAGCTATTAGCAGAGACTTGTTAGCAGAGACAAGATTCTCTGTGCTGATTTGTGGACAGTCCACGAGACTGATGGCCTCAGTGCTTTTTTATATTGCCAAATCTGTAACTTGAAGTTTAAAAGTTAAAAATAAATTTAGTATTCTCCTCAGAAATTGCCCCATGGCTGCTACAACAGCAAATGGGAGGAGAGATGTCCACAACGTTGCTCATTGGCAAGAAGTCCAAGAGTCCTGCCACTGTCCTCTTTCCACCAAAACCTTGTTCTGGCCAGTTCTGGCATCCTTTCAGGGTGCCCCAGGTAACCCGAAACATCCCAGTCGGAGCCCACACTGCTACACAAACTAGGGTGCCCACGTTCTGCTCCTGAGCTTGGAGCTGAAGGGAGCCCTTCAAAACGCCCGGCGGTCAGGGCATCCTCCCTGCCCCTGCCTCAGCACCACTGCAAGGAAAATTAGCATCAGTCACAACAAAAGCTCATAACCTGGGATGACTTCATGGAACTCGACCATGAACCAGACACAAACACAGCCACAGCCAGCAGCAGGTTCTGCTGTTAAAGTGATTTATGGCCTTTGAATGCAAACATCCTTGTTTTGCCAACACACACGCACACATATGCACACACCTCAGTTTCACGCTCTCACAACTGACACGTGCCACCAGGGAAATTTTTTGTGTCACACCGAGTTTCTCTGGTACCTTGTGCTGCTTGTTAAGCACGTGGAGGGGTGGGGGGGTGTCCCCCGCTGTGCCTGGACTACCACCAGGCTGGACCGGTGTCCCAAGTAATTGTCTTCTGACTTTTCCAAGAACTTTACAAGCACCAGCTACTGCAGTCTCCCAGTTCTTCTGCAGCTGGGCTGTGACCAATTAACATTATGACGATCACTTCATTTTGCTGTAGGTACCTGTGTTTCAGTAGGGCATTTCCATCCTCTGGATGTGTGCCCACACTCTCTGTTTGGGGTTGCTTTTTTTTGTCTTGTTTGCAGGTTTTTTCACAAACGGGCATTCCTTCGGGCTATCCATAAACACCTTCAGGCAAATTTTCTTTTAGGAGGAGGATTACCTCCCACAAGAGGGGAGTGGTTTAAGGTGGAAGCTGGGAGGAGGGATGATTGCAACACAAAAGAGCAAAGCAATACGGGAGGCAGAAGAAATTAATCTTACCTTGAAAATCTCCCAGTTGTGAGCTGTGCTGGCCGCACCTTGCCTTGCAGTGCGAGGGCAGGGAGCGCTCTCTGACTCAGGAAGGAGTGCTCACCTCGCCTTGCAGGCCAAGCGGAGAGGAAGGAATTTGCTTCACGAGGCTGGGAAGGCTTTGAGAAGCTCATCTTTCATCCAGCTATCGAGAACCTGAAACGAATTCCTCTTTCCAGCACTGCTCAACCCGCGGAGTAAGGATTTGTCTTCCCGATGGATGGCCCCAGCTGGCTGGGGGCTGTGCTCTTCCTTGGGCTTCACCTCCGAGGTAAGGAAACCTGGTACTCTCTGGCCTCTGTTGCCATCTTGACTTTCCTCTTCGGATCCCTTAATTATCGTCCTCATTAAGGCAGCGACTTTACTGGAGTGTCAGATACTTGTGGCGGGCGACTGCTGCGATTCTTTCGGTCCCGGGTGCGCGGCAAGTGACACGAAGTGATTGAGTTTCTTCGACAAACAGGTTTAAGTGTGTTCAAGCGGAAGAACACCACTGATCGTGTCTGAGCTCTGGTTACACATCTTCTCCTCTCCTGCCAGGAATCTGGACTTTACTCCTAGATGGTTTTTTTCGCTCTCTTTGTTATTAGACAAACAGAGATTGTTAGGCAGCACTGGGTTTAGGTCCTTTACGCAGCAGCGATTCCAGACTGACAATAAAATCGCTTCAGTTTTCAGTGCTTTATATCAATAGAGCTGGAATCTAAGAACACCACCTCCTTTCCCAAGTGCATCAGCACACGGGTACGCTCAGTAATCTGTCTTGAAAAGGGTATCTTACACTTATTTCCCACAGTTGTTCTTTTAAAGGAGTTTTAAATGAGAAGATTTGACACGGAATCTTTGGATGAGAAACATGATCTCTGCCAATGAAGTTTTTCAAATGTGAACACTTTTGATGTTTGGGCATTTCAAATATTTTTTCCTTTGAAAAAAGAAATTATTTGGCAAGGAAGTCTTTGGGTTTAAATTATTTTTGAATACAGGAAATTTATTGATGGTTTTTGTTGTGAAGCCACATTTTACAACCCCAAATAAGCTTTTTTTTTCTTGACTCATACTGGGGTGAGTTAGCTCATTTTCCTAAAGTGACAGGAAGTTCTGAATATTTTCTTTTTCTGCTGGGTTAGTTTGACCTGTGAGGAAAAGGAAAGGAATGGGAGCACATCATCAGGAACAGGGAGGACTGTCCCTTTTTAGCAGCAGCAAGATTCCCTCTGGGTTTCCTATTTTTCACTTTTCCTTTTTCTGTGTCTTGATGCTCTCTCGCGCCGGTCATCTCTCTCTCAGGGTAGCACCGAGTTAGCGATGCTGCCTTATTTTTAAAGCAGCAGCTGTGGTGGTTTGGTTAACAGATGATGTTTCCTTGACAAATGCGTACAGGTTTACCTTGAGGTTTTCCTGCAGAGTTCCTCGGCCTGACTGTATGTGCCTATAGCTCTCCAGCTGGGCTGTTAACCTTCTA